GTTGAGCGGGGGCAGCGGGGTGCAACGGGATGGAAAGGGGAGGAACGGTGTGGAGCGGGGTGGAGCGGGGTGGAGCGAGGGTGTGCGGTGTGGAGCAGGTGGAGCGGGGTCGAGCTAGGACAGAGTAGATCGAAGTGGAACGGAGCGCAGCGGGATCGATGAGAGTGGAATTAAAATTATTTCCAGTGCATATAAGTCATTCAGTTTTGTCTAACATGCGACTATAAGAAATTCCGAGGCAACCTCCGCCGCAAAATAAAAAGTGTTACATGAAAAAAACAATCTGAATTCTGTTGGATAATGATTATCATCACAAAATATGGAAATTCTGAGTTATTAATAACTCTTGCATTTATTACGTAAATTAACGCACACATTTCTCTGAGTTCAATGCCACGCAAATGTTCGTAAGAAACAAATTAATTCTATTTTCAGTTCTTATCAATTATATTCTTATAGGTTAGCATTTTTCATTATACATTTTAGTATTTGTTGCAAAATGTGTGGTCAAACTTGTGAAAATGCAATGTATCAGGGGAACTTTTCAGTTTGCATGAAAATCATAGTAACGCTTTACATATAAATTTGAGAACGTAATCACCTGTCGTGGTCCAGGAGCATCGACGCACATGAGGATGCTTTTCAGGGCGTCAATGCGGTCTGAGACGAAATCATTAATCTTCTCTAAATCCGATAAGAAGCTCCGGCGTTTTGCTACATGCTGTTGAGAATGTGTGAATATCACCAAAACAAAGGCGCTCAGAGTTCTAGAATACAACCTGAAATGTGTAAAGCGTATGCTAATAAAACGTACACTGCTCAATAAAGTATCTAATTGTGGCACTTAATGCATTTTTGGTAGAAAGATTCTTAATGCCGATTCTGGTAACGAATGTGTATAAATCTTTGTGCTGTATGCAATAAATCACTTCCTATAACACGTTGTGTTGTTAGAAGCAATGTTTTTTGGGTCCTTGATACCAAAAAATCGATTTTCGGCAATACGTCTGTTCGACTCCTCGTCTGTCCATCCGTGTCAAACCGTAGGTAAGATTTTCTCCAAAATGTATATATTATTCCCCAACAGATCTGTTTGATGTTGCGTACCTTCAGATTTCAAACATATTTTAATGTTAGGGGTTTATTTACACATGGGACCTTTTCAGCATTTTTAAATTGGTAATACTACATGAACATATTCTTTCTTGTATTGTTATAATCACGTAATATTGAAATATTGCAATTTCTGCGCTACTAAAACCTTACTTATTACTCGAAATCGTCCATTTCAACAAATGCAAACAAGTGCCTATGGTGCATATCTGCATTCATTCCGATAGTCAGGAACAGTAATCATTTTTTAATTTTACAAACGAAAAAAACAGGAATAAAAATTTAACTGCTGCAGTATTAGAATTAAAGCAATTAAGTATTAATCATTAAAGTACAATACAGTAAAAAAGTATATCAATGTTTGTCCTCTGAGAGTGTAAAAGACGGTGAACAGAATGGTGTGGAAATAATTTTTATAAAGTCCCTGATTTTTCCCCGCGGGTGGGCAGGCGGATAGAGAAAAATGTATTTGATAACATGACGTTAACACCAATTTCATTAATCTTTAAATCGTTAAAGATTACACAAACGTAACTTTTGAAGTATATTTATCGTCGTTAATGTTTGTATTACTGACTTTTTTATATTATTGCATTTCTGGGTAAAAGTACGTCAAATATTTTCAATGAATTTTACCACAAAAACTGAAAAGCTTTTTGTTAAAGTAAGCTCAAAAATGCTCACAAATTATATTTATTCAAAATTGGCTTCAAGGTTTGAAGCGAAAATTTCCATTAAGAGCCAGTCTTTTCCTTCTTCAATATTCTGGAATTCATATTTAAGTTCTACCACTACAGGACCGAAACATTGAGATAATGTGAAAAATGGTTCCTAATAGATGGCAGCTGCGAAGAGGGAAGGCAAAACCGATATGTTAGCCTTAACTAATGAGATTAGAAAATTAACTAGTTCTCAAAATCCGCTCCGTTCTGTAGGACCACTAGTTTGATTACTTCACCGTTTGTTTCCACAGCCACAACGCGAATAATGTGAGTATAACCAATGCAGCAATCATTAAAAAACAATTTTAGCAAAATTAACGAACTCTGCAAATTAATTTGTAGAAAATAATGTGTATTGTATGTATCAGTTAACTTAGAAGCTTCATTTACTTTCATGTTAAACTCATGTTGGAAGAAAAATTATTTTATTTTTTAAAAAACGTTAATTTGTTCACATTTACTCATTTTTTCCTGTGCCCAAATGGTACGATAGAGATATCTCTTTCAGAATATCATAGAAGAGTGAAACATATTCTTCTATATAAGAATGGCATATAATTATATATAAACACACATTTTCAGTTAATAATTTGGAGCTGCTTGTTTTAGAAAATTACGTTGGAGCATTTCTTAAAATGTTTGATTAGATACAAATTAAATGTTTGGTATGAATATTAGTACTGAAACAGCTTCATTCAATTTCAGTCATACATTGAATGAAAAAAGTCGATTTGATGCCTTTATTTGAAAACATATAGTAAGACACTTCGAAATTATGTACGAATATATTTTGTATAAATATTAATATTCTATTAAGTTAGTTGCAATAATTTAATTCTAATATTCGAAGCAAGAATCTATGAGAAATTCTACAGAAGTATAGCAATGGGGCCTTACCTCATTTTTAAATGTGTTAATGGTTTGATGTTAAAAGATACACGTCCTTCACTAGACGAGGGAAACTACTATCTGCTTGGTAGCTCTTACACGTTTTGGTTTCCTGGGCGTCTTGCAAAACAATTCGGTTGCTCAATGTGACATCATGCTACGAATATTTGTGAGCGGTGCGCCACGTGTAAATCAGCACTTAACAAAATGAAAAATTTCCACACCTTAGAAATGGTTCAAATTTTCAATGATCAAAATTGGGAAAAAAAGAAATTAAAGATTGCGCTCAGAAACAAATTTAGAAAACAACCACAAATCGTCAGAGCCTTCCAGATAAAAAATATTATTTTCCATTTTTTGAACCAAAAGCCCGAGTCATAGGTATCTGTAAACAGATGGTTGTTGCATACTCCTGGTAAATTTAAAAGAATAATGTGGTCACTCAATTACCCAGATAGTAATTGAACTATCTGAATGAATTTGGTAGACAATATTATGGGCTTCAAAAATATTTAATTGACTTCGTTAAATGTTAAATATTCGTAACTGCATACAAAATTAGATGAAAATATAGTATGGAAATCAAAAAATTGAAAAACTTTATAATGCCGTTTAGTGATGTTAATCAACTTAAACACTGTCGTCCACAGTAATATGTCTGAACGCAATTGGTGGAGGACGATTCCTTTCCCGAACGCAGTGTTAATTCCCTTCCTTTCTTCCTCATTTTCGGTAACTTAAAATGTGAATATTTCCTAAGGTATAGTAGCGTTCTAAACACTCGGTAAGGGAACTCCTACGAATAGAATGATTGATTATTTATTTTCAGTTTTCGGCCGTGTCAATTGCTATGGAAATTACTCTCTAAAGTATCGTGTAATTTATATCGCTTTTCTATTGCCGATTTGAGAGGAATACAATTGCAATTCCCTATACAACGAATGCGTACAAACTTTACTTATCATGCATCATTCCAAATAAAGCAAGTGACATCCACTACGTCCCCTCTCATAACAAAAAGTGAAGAGACCAACATCCAAGGTCATAAAGCTAATGTCACATCATTGGGGAATTTGTCATGTTACTTTTGATTTGAGGCACAATCAGATACCATGAGGAATTTGACATTTGAACATCAAATAATTCATGGACTGCCCAACAGAGATTTCTCAAAACAGAATATTCTGGTACCACGAATTACATGGATTTTAATGAAACCTACGGCCCTACTCAATCCTCTTTGCATGAAATCTTGAACATTATGTGGCAAGACAATTATCGAAAATATTATGCGGTTGAAATGATAAAAATATTACTTTGAATAAGTCAATAAAGCCGCCAGGAAATGATTGCTGAGTTACTGTATTAAACAATGGCATATACATAGTATTTTCAAGAGGAATTTTTTTTTCATTTTGTTAAGTGCTCATTCGCAGGTAGTGCATCGATCACAGATATCATAGCATAACAATAAATGGAGCAAGCGAATTGTTTCACAAGACGTGAAAGCCATAACGTGGAAGAGCTACCTCGCAGAGAGTCCCTACCCTTGTTCTGACAAAGAAGGCATTGCTTTGAACAACACAACATATTTCGAAAATGAGGTAAGGAGCTCTTTGGAATTCATAAAGTAGTTTCTTATTTAGAATAGTAACATTACAACATTGTAACTAACTTAAAATAATGCTAATATTTATTCAAAATATGTATGTAAACTATACTAAAGTATTCAGTATTATATTCAAATCAAGACATCAAATTTAAATTGTCAGTTTTTCATTAGATTTCATTTATAGTTGAAACAGAAACATTGTTAAGTACATTATTAAAATCATTACAATTCCTTTACTGTTGTTAAGAGAAAGGGAATATAGAAATAATAAAAGTAAAATTTTAATAATCAACATAGATGGAAGCTGAAATGACGGGAAGACAAGCTATGTTGCCTTGGCAAAAGAACAACTGCCAACCACAAAGTGAATTTATTTAGCGGTATTTTATTAACACAAGCTTATCACATTTCAGATTGTATTCTAAAACTCTCAGCGCATTTGTTTTAGTGATATTCTCGCATTTTCAACCGCATGCGGCAAATCGCCAGAGCTTCTTATCAGATTTAGTTGCAATAAAGGAAATTGTCACTTACCACACAGACGCTTTGAAAAGCATCCTGATGTGTGTCAATGCTCCTGGACCACGACAGGTGATTACGTTTTGAAGTTTAAAAGTAAAGCTTTACTATAATTTAATTCCAAACGTACACGTTCCTGCACTTCATTTTTAAAGTTTCTTCCACATTTTGCAACAAACAGTAAAACTGTAAATGATACTCTTGCAAACCCGTAAGAAAATAAATGGGAAGAACTGAAAATAGAATGAATTTGTTTAACACATTTTCTTTAAAATAAGACTCAAAAAAGTCAGTTAATCATGACTAATGTTTATTGACCTAGAATCAAGAAAATTTCCATACATAAATGTATATATTTTTTATATTTACTCATTTCGCGTAAAGAGCAATTGGAGAGGGCAAGTGAGTTAGAGATTAAGTAGTGTAAAAGTAGTAGGGATTAAGTAGTAAAAAAACTAGTAATGTATATAAAAGATTTTTTAATATTACCGCATTAAAGTAGGTTTATCTATGCTAAACCCATTAAAATTAGAAAATCATACACAGAATTGCTAAACAAACAATTGACACTTTCAATTATTTACAAATAACACACGTTTGTTATCATATTTTATTTTTCATTTGAACTGTTTCAAATTCACCCAACATATTTCCACAACATTCTGTAATTTTTTAATACTATATTTATTACTAATCTTATTACTTAACTTTCACACACAAATTACGTAATCTTTTACTTTCGACTATCGAAGAAACAGCAAGCAGCTATTGTGCAACATGCAAATAGCAAATATTTAATGTCGGGCGGACTCTTATTTGACGTTGTGCTGTTTCAAGACGCCCGTTGAGTTGTAAATAGCGATGCTTTGAGTGCGATTAGGCGGAATAACACAACCAAATTATCGCATTTTCCGTAAAAATTGAAACTCATTTATTCTTTTAATATCCTAGTATTTTACGAAATTACAGGCACTCTCAAAATGCTGAAAGCTGTATGGTTTTTGTTTCAGTATCTGCATGGATGGAATGTTAGTAACACAGATGCCATTTTTATAAGAGCTATTAGCTGCTATTCTTTAGGAATCTACTAGCAAATATTTTTAAAATTATGAAGCGATTTTTGCTATAATAATTAAAACTTCCCAGAGGATTTGGGTGAAGTAGCTCCCAAAACTAAATGATTCGTTTCAAATTCCTGTGGTATCAAGTAGAACCTAGACCAATGGGGGGGATACCTATTTTGCAAAAATTTTGTTAATGTTTTGAGGCTTATGTTGTTCGCAAACGAAAGGGCAGACTAAAAAGAACTTTTTCGGTTCCGGGAAAAATATTTATTACTGTTAAAATTTAGACATCGATATTCAACAGCTTAACTTTCTTTATACGAATATGGCGATCTAAAAATCGAATTCTAAGATCTTAAAAAAAACACTGATTAATGTAAGTTTAAAAATCGATATATCTTATCTAATGATTTCTGTTTCCCGTAGGTGACGTTTCACAATTTAGCGGATGTGCCGTCCCCTTGGAGCCTAACAAAAGCTGTACACGACAACAATCTGGCGTTGCTACTCAACCCTCCGGGTGAACTCAGGAATTTGCGAGGATTCGCGCACGTTGTGACTATCTTGGCAACAAAATCTTTCGATCCAAGGACTCTAGCGTACTTAATATCGAAACAACAGACAACAGCATCCCTTGGAATTTTTATAATATTATACATTAGTGATTCAGATTTGACTAGCAATACAGTACTAGAAGTGAGCAATGCATTTTTTCTAGAAATGGGAGCAATTCGGGTAATACATCTTTATACCACGAAAGACTCTAAAGTGTACGTAAGAAAAACGTATAACCCCTTTACACATGAATTCAATTTTGAAACCCTACTTTTGTCCGAATTTTGCTCCAAGAAGATTGGTATGAAGTATGGAATTTTACCAACGGCATTGGACATGAAGGGATACAGAGTAGCCTTGTATGCAACGGAGGAGAACTCGTGGTTTAATAAGAAGGGAAAAATACGTTTCGATGGAGCTGACATTGAGATACTGCGTGAGATAAGCAAGTTTGGATCTCATTGGATATCACCTAAAAACGTAAATCCTCCAATATCTGGTGTGAATCGCCACGAGGATGTTTCATTGCACCCTGTTGCCATCGCTTCCTGTTGGAAAGCAGAATGGATCAAATCAAGAGAATTTTCTGTTGTGATTTCACAGGTACGGCCTATCTCGATGTGGAAGTGGTTAACTTACCGATCGCTAGATCCTTTTTTTGTCGGCCACCAGAGCCCGGGGTTGATCCTAGTTGAGACACGTGGATTTCCAAGAGCGCAAAGCCCCCGATGGCCGTATAGCTCGCTCGCGCGCATCCAACTTAAATGCGCGGAAAATTCAATCCTCCGAACGTTCGAACATATTTGCATCACCATGAAATGCCTCTAACTAAAAATAATAATAAAATTTACTGGGACACTTGTGACTAACAGGGAAGTCAAAATTTAGCGGTTACGCTGTGAGTACAAGTAAAATAGAAAATACCCAGCAATTTCGCTCATGTCAGGAGTGCATATGTGTATTTTTGTTTGTAACTGAAAATGAATCTTGTGACTTGTGCTCTATTAAAGGTTAAAGGGAAAAACTAGTTGAACCTGCAAAAGTGTTTCCAACACCCACACATATTTGATAGCACTGGGCATCGAATCAAGGCACCTAGGTTCCGTAAACAGCGGTCTTGCCCGTTGACTGACAACTCGACAAGTTCCTTCAGGAAGTCAGAAACTGGCATACATTGTCCTCTCTTACTTGACATAAGATTTTAAAAAATTTTTTAGTTAATAATAGGTGCATAAAATTACCACCTTTGCAATTTTAAAAATTA